ACTGCTATGAATGCATAGACAGCATTCTACACCAAACAACTAATAAAGACTAACAATTATGAAAGACAACAGGATTAACAGACCACAAGGTTATTATAAATTTATTTTGCACTTTTGTCTTAATGGAGCAATGTTTTTCCTTTTAATATGCTAAGAAATTTGATTCTTTGGGTTTTCTTCCTTGTAACATCAACTTTCTTCCCAGATTTATCGATATGTGTATACAAAATTATTGTTGAATGCATTATCTGATGCTTTTATAGGCGCATCTGATTTCCACCTCAGCTTCACAGACTAAACTGAATATAGTCAAATGCCCACTGATGTTCATGATTGTCAGAGATGGTCTACAATAAATTGAGGACTTAATGTCTAATTCAGTATGGCAGATCTCATAAATAAATGAAAAAATCCCATCTTACCATGACAGTGGTGCCTTAAAAGCATTTTGCGAACTGCAAATAGAACTTAATTGACAAGTCTATTTCCCACCCACATTAACTATTTTATTTCGAATCTTTTCTCCACTGGGACTTTTGCTTCTTTGGTATTAGTGTTGATGCATGAAAAATATGATGAATGTAAAGTCAAGGATATACTGGTCTTATAGGTGTGGAATGACAGGGAAGATGAAGCTTATTGCCTTACTGTAGCAGGTCTGACATGGGAAAAAGGACTCTGCAAGTACCCATAACTCCCATGAAAGTGATATATTTAGAAATAACCTAAAAGTGCATGATATTCTGCTGCTGATGGGCCTTTCTTCAATGTTGTAAATGCAACATAAGCAATGCTTATGCATATGTTCTAGCACATCACACAAATTATTGATGTTACCTTCTTTTTTCATACCGTATTCCTACTTTGTCTGTTATGTCACCAGTGTACAGCAAACCTCATAGAGCAGGCTGTGTTTCTTAGGGAAAAAATATCTTCCTACTTGTATTACCAAATGTGTGTTCTCATATTCCATGAGACATATTGTTTAAACAAGCACATTTTGTAACTTATTTGTCATACTTGCCTCTTTATATATATATATATATATAAAATATATATAAATATTCATAAATATTCATATTGAACAAATCTCATGTTCTAATTTAAAGGAGATAAAAAGACGTTTTTGCAGTTCCAGGAAGGGGAAATAGTATGTTGGCTTGTTATGAAGAAACTGCAGTTGCACCTTCAATAGCTCAGGTCTTTGGGTAGGGTAAAGAGGTATAGTGATCAGTGTGTATAAATACCCCAAGGGAGGCAGTGAGGAGGAGGGGGCGGCCTCTTTTCAGTGGTGGCCACCGATAGGACTAGAGGAAACGGCCACAAGCTGAGGCACCAGAAGTTCCACATGAACTTGAGAAAACACTTTTTGACAGAGCCCTGGAACAGGCTGTCCAGAGAGGTTGTGGAGTCTCCTTCTCTGGAGATCTTTAAAACCTGCTTGGATGCAGCCCTGTGCCACGTGCTCTACGTGACCCTGCGTGTGCAGAGGGGTTGGACTAGATGACCTCTGAGGTCCCTTCCAACCTTAAGCATTCTATGATTCTATGATAGCTTGTAGCATGAGTATGTTGGAAAAAATAGGAATTCCAGAATGGTGCTTTGTAAGTTGGACACACTGTGTTCACATGTAAAATGATAACTGCTTCTAATTGAGTAGCCATAAAGCTTCCAAAGGAACTACACCATTTAGTGTGTTTTACTCGCAAAAATACTGGGCCAAATTCTTGTGCCAAGATCTTAAGATAGCTGTAATGGAATAGCACTTGCTGCTAATACTGTGCTCACAGGTCTAGGAATGTTGTAAGTCCTAGGTCTAGGAATGTCATAAACTGACTGTTTTTGTCAGTTCTGATCCAAAGACAGGCCTCATGTCTACTGGAGATTGTATTTTCTGAAACTAACTTGATTTAGTCAGCCAGTTTCATAAGCCATTTTGTGGTAGGCTGTATTGGGTGTTTGAACACCCTGGAAGAAAGCTTCTTGACTGCAAGCCTGCAAGCTCCACCATCCTCTACCTTATTGCCAAATAAGGACATTTTATATATAGAAGGGAATGACCTATGCCTGGAATCTAGATCCGCTTTCGCTATCATAGCCCACAGTTGCTGTTTCACAGAGGCATGACTCTCCTGTAAGCATGTGCCAGCTCAGCATGGGAGAATGTTGCTCAATTCTTACTGTATTTGGAGCTGAATATGAGAATGTAATTATAGGTGTGCAGATAGTCTCTTGCTGTAGGTGTGAAAGGAGCATAAACTCCAAATAGATCTCTTATGCTGGGCAGGTGCTCAGCTCTTTTAACGACTTTACAAGCATATGGACTTTAAGAACATTTGATCCCTCAAGAGGCAATAAGATTTTGCTTACTTAAGCTTCAAGAGTTTTATCAAGAAAATAAACATGTGTTTTAGTGTTCGAACTGCAGTGTGTATTATTTCGCAGTCTGAGAGCTGACCTCTCCATTGGAGTAAGAAATGACAACAGAAGAGACTAACAGTTTAAAAAAAGTAAAGTAGAAAGCCCTATTCTGCTAATGCAAATTCATCCTTGCAGGTCAGTTGTGTTTGGGAAATAGTCGTTATTACACCAATTACATCTGCTATGAATTATCTATGAATATAGATATGCTATGAACTACCTTGTGGTAGTTAATGCTAATAATTTATGTTCTGGCACTGAATGGCACTTCGAGTTATGTCTTCTAGGTTGGACAGGGATTGCCTTACTGTGTCCCTTTCCTATAGCGCTAGGCAGTTAGCGTGCTGGTATGAACACAGTCATGCTCTGATAAAACGTCCTTGTTGCCGGAGGACATGTATTGAAAACAATACAGAATAACGCTGTATATATTAAAACACCATGCACATTCTTTGAAGAGGTAGTGCTGAAATAGTGTGTCATTTAGTGCTTCTTCAGCACCAAGACAGTGTTTATAATTATTCTGACCCTAAGGTATTAAATAAATGGGGATAGTCAAAACATGCTCACTTTTCACACAATTTACTTGATTTTAATTTTATCTCTCTACAGAAATAAAGGATTTTGTCTTTACAGTTAGGGCCTGAATTTTGACCCATTCAGACATAAGCTCTCATGATGCACGGTGAAAATTTTGGTCTTTTGGGCTTGAGTTTGTACACATGATTTGGTGATGACTGATTGACATCAGCAAACACCTACCAAACTTGGTAAGGGCTAGACTGGAATGCTAATTCCCTGCAGAGGAGGAAAGCAGTATTGATATAGGAATAAACAGTGTGATGGATGTCATCAAATGTGAATTACTTGGGCTATATTAAATCATAGCATCAATTGCTATATTTCTGACTGTAAGGAACTAGAAAAAACATATTCTTTAATGTTTAAATGTAGCTTTGCAATTTGCAGCAAGTGTAACTCTATAACATAGTGTTGGTGACATGCACAGTCTTCCCTTCTAGTGAGAAAGTGAGTGTGAGTGCACAGCCCAGGGCCCCTTGGCCGTCTGTAGTCAGATCCCAACGGGCATTACTATGATACTTTAATTCACTATCAATAACATTCTTCATTTAACCTATTTTGTAATATCTTTAACTGTGCTTTGAACAGTTTCATTCTGCACTTGGGGCCTGATCCAAAGCACGTTAAGTCTGCTTGAAAAACCCACCTGACTTCAGTGTCTTTTGGCTCAGGCCCTTTATTCCTCTGAATGCTGTGACTTTTTTTTTATGTTTTATTTTTCTTGTTCATGTAAGGGTTGAAAGGGCTGTAAGGGGTTTTTTTCCTTTCTTTTATAAACATCTGCATTTAAAATAAAACCAAGACACAAAGACAATCTGCACCTGTATATATTAAATGCAGTTGTGGTGTTACATGTATAGTATTAGAATCAAAGCACAGTAGTACCATCCTATACTCATAATATAGATGGCAGAATTTCATATACAGAAAATACGACAAACCTGAAGAATCTTCCTATTCATTTGATGGACATACAGACACAGAGAAAAGTGGTGGATTAGCTAAATGAGCAAGGTGATATTCCAGAGCTGGGATGCAAATGTGTGCATAAAGCCTCTTAGCTCTGTGGGCAGAAGTTATCCTGTTCCCTGAAAACTTTGTCGAAAGGGAAGTACAACATTATTTTGTAGCCATCATAATCTGGTTAAAATGGTAGCAGGATGGATATTACCATAGATTTTTGAAGCAGGGCTACTTAGAGAGAATTCCGAAGCAAACTTGACATCTTGGAACTTACAGAGTATCCTGCGTATTTTGAAGGCCTTATCAAAGAAAAAGCCTCCCACAGCTTGCTTCAGAGGATTTAAAGACTTAATTTTGATTTTAAATTGCCTTTAGATTGCCTTTGAAGCCCTGTCCTCCCACACTGCCTCTTAACCTTTTGTATGTTAAAATGCACAATTTAAAATGAAAAGCTTTTAGAGCAGTTGTGGTGAAAGGAAAGGAAAAGCAGTGGGGACAGAGTGTGTAAGTGGCTGTGATCTTCTCTATACCTGAAAGCTGGCTGGGAATTGGGCAGTGTTTTGTTCAATGTCATTCCGGGAAAGAGAAGGGGACAGAATACAGTTTGCACTTGAGATATGTGTGGGCCTAGAGCTGACCTATGGTCATCTGGTCTCCGTAGAGGTTTAGGTGTTAGGAAGTGGAACAGCACTGGCACATTCCCAGCATAATGAACTATGCTCTTAGTGAAGCCTAGAAACATCAGGTGAATAGAATAAAACAGGAGGAAAAACTTATTGTGGAGAGTGGTTATATATGTCACATTACATTCTATATCTGCATACACGCATCAGAGCCAATTATACTCTAGTAATAGCACTAGCTACAGAACGGCTAACTGCTTCAAAGCATGCCTTTACTGGATTAATTTAAACTAAAGTTATATGGCAAAGTAGTCCACAGTTTTAGTACATCACAATGTTGATAAATAATTTGGATTCATATCTGATACATATTTTATTAGTAAGGAAAAAAATGTTGTTTTGTCTTTTCAGTTGCAATTGTGTGGAACCAGAACATCCTAGCAATAAAACCTTGCAATACTGGCATGACTACAATATATCTGCATCTGACGTGCCATGGGGGAACCTAACAGTGTCAGTAAGTGAAATATTTGAACCAATAAATAAAGGCATAAGCATAAATGATTTTTTTCTGCCTTACTGCAGCAAATATTATATTGAAGCAATACTCTGTTCTAATACTCTTTCAGATAGAAGCCTTTAGATACTTCACTGAACAAAGATGTGGACTTTGCAGCATTTTCTCCTCTTGTAAACCTTTGCTAGAACATTATGCAGCCTTTGATAGTACATGTTAAAACAAATATATACTTTTTGTGCCCTGCTTTGAAAACTACTTGACATGCTAGCACAAGAGTTTGACTGAGATCTAAGCACATCAAGTGACAATGGATTTGTCCTCAATTCTGCCAGATTGAGCAAAAGTTTTTTTTGGTAGGAAGATTCCAGAAGCTTTTATTTCCTCTAAAACACTATCCAGCCTTTAGGCTATAGTGGAGAGGAAAGGGAAGAACTGTAATTTTCTGTTTGCTGACCAAATTTCTCTGTATCTAGGCCTTCAATGTTATTTATGACTTGGTTATGTAAATTTTCTTGCAGGGAGGGAGGGGGAACAAATTATAGATAGCTTGGGAGACATTGCATATGTAGCTTGTTTCTAAATGGTACACTGCTTTAACTAGGTTTAACAAATGTACTGCTTTAGATTTTCCATCTTTAAAGCAACCTTTACAGCTTGATAAAACTGGTATATTGAGATGAGGCCACCACTGTTTTTCACAAATAGATCATTTCATTGTGAAGCCAAGGAGAATTCAGTACAAAAGATGCAAAGCTAGAGATCTCTCAAAACTGTTTTGAAGTTAACACCTTCCTTGGCATAACCAAATGAAACTTTATAATGCCAATCCAATGGACCATCTTCAGTGGATACTATTTTTCCTTTCAAAAGCAGGAATGCAGAAGAAAGAGTGCTCTCTTATCACAAGTTAAGGAGGAACTGTCGCCCATGGCCGCTATGTCTAGATAGTAAGGACTTCTCCTCACCTCTGTTGGTGTGGCAGCAGTACAGAAAAAGTTGAGAACTGCTGGCCTGAGGGATTCCAGCGATGCAGAATGAATATTCTCAACATTTCAGCACACTCTAAGAGCATCTGTGCAGGGGCAGACTCCTCCTCTCACTTTCTCAGATCTCTGACAGTGTTTTTCAGAGTACATTTGCAGCTGAGGAGATTTAAAATAACAGATTTTGTTTTAACTATAAATGTAAAAGACCTGCTGAATTATATAAAACCCTTTAAAACTTCTCCTCAAAAGCTTATTGCCAAAACTTGAGTTTACATGAGTAGCAGTGTAACTGAACAACTTTTCTCATGAGTCCCTATGGTTGTCAAAGAAATATCTGAATTTCTCCATACTTGTATGTATTTACTCTTTGCAAACATCATCAGGAAACATCTAGTCTCCTATTCTGCAGAGATGTACTAAAACATTGGACATAATTGCCTATAATAGTTTAGATTAGATCAGTCTAATTCCCTTCTCTTACCTGTTGCTCAGTTCTTCCTGTTGCTTCTTGTGTCTTGCTTATAAGTTTTAAGTGACTTCTTCAAACTCAGGTTGGTCAGGAAAGAAGACAGCACTTTCTCTCAAAGACCTCAGAAAGACCAGAGTTTCTTTGGCTTTCTAAGACAAACTGAGTGTGATTAGTTTTATTTTATTTTTTCAATGTTAGTTCAGTACTTCTGTAGATGCCTATTTTTACATGATTAAAATCATTCCTTTGTTGTGAGAACATAAGAGATCTAACTCCAGCAGGACCAATTTTCCATTTGATGTCCCCAGATCTTGAGAATTTCTTCTAAATTTCCTGAAACTCCTTCTCCCCTGCCACCTAAAGCCTTTGTTTTAGGCAAAACTGCCTCATAATTACCCCATGTTTACTGCAATGCTAATATCACGTTTCACAACCTTTTGTCTCACAGTCATTAAATAGCAAGTACGTTTTCAAGTGGGTCAAATGTATCTCGTACCAAGTCAGGCCATGAATGGATGAGTCAGTGGCCCTTATTTTTTGATAACGTAAGATCTTGATCTGGCCAGTTATTGCTGCCTGAAATCTCTTATTCTGATTGCGGAGGGTTTTTCTTTTGCTTAATATGAGTATTAGGGGGGGATGAAAGAAAGAGGTCAGGGAAGGAGTAGGAAACTGTGCGGAAACTGTAGCTCACAGTTTTAAGCTGTGCTGTGTCTCTCTGCTTATTATACTAGGATAAACGGGTCTTTAAAGAACCAGTGGATGGTATTGGAGAAATACTGGAGAGTTGTTCTCCAGTATGTGCTGTATTTACATATGTGATTGTAAATGGTATTGAACAGAATTAATATCGGGTTTGCTGCATTTTAGCAGATCACATTTTAGAAAAAGATAATTTTATGGAATGTGCTGCCCCCATGTGGTATTAAATATATTGTTCTCTTAGGCTAATATCTCTATCAAGTAGCTCTTCCTTGAACTTTTTGGCTTAAAGTAGCAATTCTTGTCAGTGCACCTGGAACAGTCTTTGTATTGGTGGAACTTGTTCCTCTTTTAGGAGGAAGTAGGAAGTATATTTGGAAACAGAAAATAAGTGAGTGGACTCAAACTGTTTGAAACAAATCTCATTTCATTTTAAATACCATTTTTAAAAAGTGATTTGTTATGAAAGGACAGTTGTGCATGTAATACGTCCTTCGTTCTGGAATTAAGAAAGATGATTTTCAGCTTTTAGTTTTTGTTGATAATGTCATAAGATTTGAGACTTTTCCATACAGTCCAGGTAAAATATCAGGAGTTTTAATTTTTAAAAGATTAAGTATCTTAAATGAATTTTACAATCTTTAGTAAAGCAGTCAAGGTTGCTCATAATATAGGAAAGTAATAGGCGAGAAAAAACATAACAGCAACATAAACATGGATTTTTTCAGAACACACGGACTTTTTTTTCCTGGTAGGAATGTAAGAAACTTCATGGAGAGTTTGTTGGACGAGCCTGTGGTCATCACGGCCCATATGTTCCAGATGTCCTCTTCTGGTCTGTCATCTTATTCTTTTCTACAGTAACACTGTCATCCACACTGAAGCAGTTCAAAACCAGTCGGTACTTTCCAACAAAGGTAAGTACAACGTGGTTCATCCAAAAAGTTGTCACTAGTTACGTGCAGCATAGAACTGCATCTATATTGCAAGTTTAATTAACTGTTGGATAAATGAACGCTGTGTCTTTTCTATGTTATGAAATTGTACCAGGGTAAGTGTGGTTTTGCCTGTAGGCAAAGCCATGCCTTGATGTGTAAAGAGAAACAAGTCATAAATCACCCGTGAAGATTTTTGTTAAAATTGTCACACCTTTTGATATTCACAGGTGCGATCTGTTGTCAGTGATTTTGCTGTCTTTCTCACTATTTTGTCCATGGTTTTAATTGACTATGCCATTGGGATCCCATCACCAAAGCTTCAGGTTCCAAATGCTTTTAAGGTAATTTATTGATAAATTGAACTGTCTTATTATTTTGATAACACAATATGCTTTAGTGGATTTATCATATTTTTATAATCAGGGAGTAGTGATGCTATTGTGATTTTTTTGTGTGTTCACCAAACACAGTGAATAGTGACCTGTGTAATTGAGGATCCTTCATGCTTCCGTGCATATTCTATGTGAAGACCAAACTTACTGAAATGATCCAGACCTAAGGCTACTGTAATGTTCAGAAGCTCCTTCTGAGATCTAAACTTAGGGTATTGAATATAAACAAGTCTGCAGTATCTTAGATGATTTTCTTAAATATGTCTTAGTAATATTTTTGTATATAATCACGTGAAATTGTAAAATTAGTGATCTCTAGAGTTCTGACTGCTTGTGCTTGACTCTGTTTTTATAGCCCACCAGAGATGATCGTGGCTGGTTTATTACTCCTTTGGGACCTAATCCTTGGTGGACAGTGATAGCTGCTGTAATTCCAGCTCTGCTTTGTACTATCCTTATCTTTATGGACCAACAGATTACGGCTGTCATTATAAATAGAAAAGAACACAAACTAAAGGTATTCAGTCAAACAGTTATATTTTCACTTTGATTTTCTGCTTCTGGTTACATACTATACTTTGATCTATTTAATGATGGCTCTTTTACTGTGAGTTTTTTAACAGTCCTTTCAATTTCTGTTTTTCTTTATTGGTCTACAAAATACTGGTATCCTGTGTCGGAAATTCTCTGCCTTGTACAAGTCTTTACAACAGTGATTTGAAACAGAGGTCTTAGATGCATTTACCTAAATAAAATCTGGAAGTAAATTCTTTCCTTAAGTATCATAATGTTCATTATGCCTTCAAATACTGACATTTTTTCTACTAGATTGAGTTTTGTAAAGCTGTTCAGGACTTGTTTGCTATGCAAAGCTTTTTCTCCCTCCATCTTTATGTGTGGTTCTTCCTTTTGTTTTTGCCTGCCCTTCCCTTCTTAAACAAGAGAGAAGAGAAAAAGTGAACTTCAGAGGCACCATGGGTTCCTAAAACGCTGTAGGACGGCTTATTGCTCTGTTCTCTAACACTTTAGATGCCTACAGATGGAGAGAGAAAAAGGGACATCACCCCTTTGAAAAACTGTTGGGCAAAATCTAACAGCAGCAGGTTTCTCTACATGTATATGCAGCAAGCCTAGGCTTTTTTTTTGACATACTTTTAATAAGCAGCAATCCAATCCCAAGTTGCTTTAGCAAATGCATTTGCAACCTTCACTTTGCACTGCCTCTTCTTGGATGATTGTGACATTTGATATGTTCTTTTTTTGCCCTCTTTGTCAGCCTGGTTCTTCATGTCAATCCATAGCATTGCATGTGGTTAACTTGACAGATGCAGGAATTTGCTGCCAAGCTTTGGAATGTGTTTTTTCAGCACTGGCATCTGGGAGTCAGATGGTCCTCCTGGCTGCCCCCTTGTCTTGCTGCGTTTTAGTTTTGCTGGGGTCTGGTGTAGCATCACCTGTTGCTATGCTTCCTTTTCCTCCCATATGTCAGGTTCCTCAGATCATGTATGAATGTGAGGAAAAGCGCTCAGATTCTGTATGCATTAGCAGATACATTCCTCATAAATGTGTCAGAAGGTAAAAAAAGGTGTCTCTGTTAGGGTTTGGAATTAAACTCTTAGTGTGCATTGTGCCTGTAACTAATATCTTTGTTTGGCACGTCTCTGAGTTTGTCGAGTTGTGTTTTGGAGGTAAGACTCAAACACTTTGGGGAAGTGAGAGAATGTAGCTAGCGCTGCTACTTTTCATTTTCTTTTCCTTTATATGAATTCCCCTTTCTAAATAATGTAAGTAAATTAAGATGGCATTTTCATTTTGATATGTGGCTTGCATTTTCATAAACCCAGACACTTCCCATTTTAGAAATAAAAGTTGTCTTCAGAAAGAAATGATTTGTTTGCTTCCAACTCATTTTCCCCCTCTTTTTTTATACTTCCCATAGCAAATTCTAAATAGTGCACATTTCAGTTTTTGGCAGTCTCTGTAGCAAGTCCTTCCAAGTTTAGTTTAGTTACTTTTTTTATGTCAAAAGGCATTTGCATGGGTTTACAGGCAAAATTATGGTTCAGGATATTCATATTGTTTGCATGAACATCACTGCTTTATCAGACCGTGATGCTGGATTGGTTGCCGTGTTGCAGAATTTTATGGAGATAACCCACTAACTACCTTGACTTTTTAAAGGAAACAGCTTGAGCTCTTACTTGCAGCTGTGTGAAATTCCTGGATGCTTACTGAAACAGAAAAGAAAAATCCCTTCCAACTATGATACAAACATTTGTATGATCAAACTCTATGCAGATCATTGGTCATTGTAAAATGCAGATTTAATTTGCACTTGTTTTTTGAATGCACTTAAGGTTTGTGCTATCCAAAATCAAGGCAACATCCTGTGTACAACACAGAGCAACATGCAGAGTACATGATTAACACAGAGACATCCCAACACCAGAGGTTCTGTAATAACTTTTCCATTTAATGTTTATGGTATTGTGTAAGTATCGAATAGGTAAACTAGCAAAACGCAGAACCTAATTGTTCCTACTCTGTTGTTTAACTTAATATGTAGCTTAATTATAGCTTTATTTCTCCTACTTTCTAGCTACCTTTTCTTAGTCAAAATGCTTTAGAAGAAAATTATTACAACCACATGTTTATAGTCTATAAAAACTGAAGAGGATAAAGGTAGTTTTATAGTTATTTATTGCAGGAATTGATTTGGTAAATGCTAACTTAAAAATTTTTGTATAGGGAAGAATCAAATTAGGTACTTTTTAATTCTTCTATGTAAGGATGGTTGCATTTCCTACTTTTTTTTTTCTTTATTAAATTCAGTGTTGTGGCAAGCTGGCTGTACTTTTGAAAGTTCTGCTGACTGGCATCCACTCTTATCCACATATTAAGTTTAGTTTAAACAGAAAATGTAGGAATTTCCCATTGTCTTAATAGTATTTCTTAAAAAGCTTATATAGGATACATGGCCCTGAATTCATTTCCTGTATGCATCTTCATCAGGAAAGCTTTGTGTTCCCTAGGGGATCTGTGATATGTACACTTACTCAAACTGGAACTAGTCTAAAATCATTAGGAATTACATTTGAAAGAGCAGGAGTTCCCCTTAGGTAACTGTCTGTCATCACTGCTAACCCAACCTGAACAACACAAAAAAGCTACTTTCTTTTACAAGACACTATTTTTAAAATTATCTGTAACTGCTCATTAGAAATGCCTATCACCAGTGTTTCCCTTAATTCAGATTTTATTTCTTATTGCTGTCAATATATATATTTTTTTTTAACAGAAAGGATGCGGATACCATCTTGACTTACTCATGGTGGCAGTCATGCTTGGAGTGTGCTCTATTATGGGATTGCCATGGTTTGTTGCTGCCACCGTCCTCTCTATTTCCCACGTGAATAGCTTAAAACTGGAATCCGAGTGCTCTGCTCCAGGGGAACAGCCAAAATTTCTTGGAATCCGGGAGCAGAGAGTCACAGGACTCATGATTTTTGTCCTTATGGGCTCATCTGTCTTTTTGACAAGTATCTTGAAGGTAATCCGGGAAAACAAGAAGCAGCTGAATGACTAACACTAACTAACATGATTTTGTACAATGGTAGTCTGTATTGGAATTCTAATTTAGCATAATAGAATGGTTAGGGATTAATGTTTTTGAACTAATATTTTTGACTAATGTTTTTGCAAAAAAAATCTTGTGATGAAATTCTGGTCTGACTGAAGTCGAAGGGAATTCTGTCATAGACCTGCAGCAAACCAAGTTTTCCCCCTTCTTTATATTTCAGGCTCATGGCAAGTTGTCTTGAAACAGTCTTGCCAAATTATACCAGCAAGAAAGTTTATTTACATAATTTAAAAACATTCTGTGTTTTCTGGATAATTTAAAACCATTTTTATAGTTATGAGAATTCTGTGCTTGATTTCTTGGAAATGAACAAAATTCTCATGCTGCTTGCATGGGCAACACTCCTCACCACTGTCCTGAAAGTAGTGGACATATAGTGTAGTCATATGGATATACAATGCTATCTAAATGCATAATAATTAATATAGTTATTAAGAATTATCTGGCTTCTATGAAACCAGTGACAAAATTGCTACTGACTTCAACAGGATTGGAATTTAGGCTTGTATGTTGTCACAGAGAAGGGAATAAGCCTTAAAACTTAGACTTCTGAGGAATATATATTTAAAATATGTTATAAAACCTTCCTAACAAATGTATCTTTTTGTGTTGTATTTAAAATAGCCATTTATCTATGGAATATCTATCTTATTACTTTACCTACATACTTTATAGGGAGAGCCTGAGCATTTAAAATGTAGATACTCTCACAAAATTACACTATGGAAGTCATACACTACTTTAAATGCTTACAGCACAGAATATTTATTTTAGGGATCTGATATGTGCCTCTTTAATATTTTTTCTGAGAATTATAGTTCTCTTGTTCAGATGCTCTCCCAAGAAATCTTTTAAGTATAGTGTGTAAGTGTATCATTACTTTTATTTTTCCTGTTCTGTTGATTTTATTAATAGTGAATTAAGTATACTATAAGTGTCTATGAGACAGACAGAAAAATCTGTAGAGCCAGATTCTTACTTTTCTTTGTAGTCTGAGCAACATTATTAATTTGTAATTGAGTTACTATGAATTTACACTTGTCTGATTAATTCAGGCATATGGCACTTTGAATTTCAACTGTTCAGAATGTCTTTCTACAAGCATTTAATATTTTTAAATGATATTTAATGTGCTTTTTTTTCTCTGCTTGTTTTTGCAGTTTATTCCGATGCCAGTACTTTACGGAGTCTTTCTTTACATGGGTGCTTCATCTCTAAAGGGAATTCAGGTAAAATTTGTTTAAAAAACATATTTTATCTGCTTTAGAGTGTATACATATTTTTATTACATTACTTTATTCCCCGTTGTTTATGTTCTAAAAGGAATGTTGCCGATCATGATTTCTTGAAAGTGAATCTCTTAAAAAAGAGAATGGATTCTGTTTGAAATAGAGTATTCTCTTTAAGTAATGTGTGCAAATTTTTATTTTTTAGATGCTGATTTTTCTGTTCTCCTTTGGTATATCAAGGGAATTTAGGCTAAGCCTAAAAAGCGTAACAACCATCAGGATCTCTTTCCTCTCTCCCCATTCACTTGCTTGCCTGCTCTTTTCAGCTTCCAAGTTAGTGCTTTTGTAGTGGTAAACCTGAACTTTGCCTATGGTAGGTGCTTGGCCAACTGCCCTAGAACTAACACAGCTGAGATCTTTATTTTTTATTATCTTTTATCATTTATAGGCAGAGCTGCCAATCTCTCTTTTTTTGACTCCTATTTCCTATTCATATACTATTCTTATGTAACTATATCACCTAGCTCTAACCCTTCACGTTGAGAGTTCTCAACCCAAATTCTAAGAAGTGTCATTTGGATTTTGCTGAAGTTTATAGATAATTTCAATTTGAATTCAGCTGTTTCCCTGAACAGGGCTATAGGGTTATCCACTGTGCAGGGCTATAGGGTTATCCACTGTGCAGGAGTGGCTGTCTTTACTTGGAAAAGTGTTAGCGCCCTCCCCTCTTTTTCATCCTCCAGGCTGGGACAAGGAATTGAGATTTAATATGATGGCTTTTGTGGGAGGATGAGCTTTTTGCTCTTTGAAGAAAACACACTACTGCATGAAGAAAAAAAAAAAAAAAAGAGGAAAAAAGAGGGAAAAAAAGAGGGAAAAAAAAAGCTTATATCTTGCCAAATTATAAGCCCTTGTGCATTTTGCACATACCCAATAAAAAATCCTGAAATCTGAGATTCGTGAAAATTGTGTGAATGCAGAATAGTGGTTTATCCCCTCCTTGGAGAAACTGTGTATCCACCATCATCACTGAGCTGCAGTCGCTGACCCGAAGTTGGAAGCTTGAAGGCTTAGTGAACCTTAGCTCTGTGACTCTTTTGGATCTGTATGAGCCAAATAGGTCTGAAAAACACAAACCTCTCGTGTATTCTTAATGACTTTGCAATTCCCTTTCTGGAGTGTATTTTTTTTTTTTTTTAAATGTGCTCTTTTAATTTTGCTCTTTTAAGCATCTCTGTTTAATGTGTGTACAAACATAGATGGTCCTACAGTCCATTTTGATAATAAAATGCATTTTAAAAAATATTTTTCTTTCAGCTTTTCGATAGGATAAAGTTATTCTGGATGCCGGCAAAGCACCAGCCAGATTTTATCTATCTGAGACATGTCCCTCTTAGAAAAGTACATCTCTTCACTATAATTCAGCTGAGTTGTCTTGTACTTCTGTGGATTATAAAGGTTTCAAGAGCTGCCATTGTCTTTCCTATGATGGTATGATTTAAAATTTTTAATTTATCCTATAAATCCATTTTCTTCTCACTTGTAGGTATTATTGAAGAAAAAATGCTAATTGTAGACACGTAATTGCAAAATATTTTGGACTGAAGATTGAAGAGCAAATCTTGATATTGAACAAGAAAAATTCTTCATATAACCAGAAATCTGTTTAGGTTGTGCTCTATTTATGCTGTGAATAGACCAACCATAAATTCTGTGTGAGAAAATTCTTCTAGGCTTTTTAAAATTACTTTATGTTTTCATGTAAGGAGTTCATCGTATACAGACAGAATGTTTGCTCAGTAAGGAGGAATATTTATTGTTTGAAGAACTTGATTCATAGCTCTGTTTATTTCTACAGAAATAAAAAAAAAAAACAACTATTATTCTGTGTGAAGAATTTCTCTTTGATTTTTTCAATAATGGAAAATAAAAGATAACCTGTGTACTAATATTAGTGATTGTTAAATGCTTCAAAACATACTTTATTTGAACAACATAGATCCATCTATCTGCTGTCCAGATTTAAAGGATACTATTCCAGCTGTAAACTGTCATCACTTTTGAAAGTGTTCCTATACAAGCATATTTGTAATGGTTACTTGCTTAAATTCTAAACGCTTGAATGCATGTCTTTACAGGTCCTAGCTTTGGTGTTTGTCCGAAAACTCATGGATTTCTTTTTTACTAAACGGGAGCTGAGCTGGTTAGATGATTTGATGCCTGAGAGCAAGAAAAAGAAACTGGAAGATGCTGAAAAAGAGGTGGGTCATTGTTTCAGTTTTTATTTCTAACATAATATAAATTTCTCCTTCAGGCATTTATAAAATTAGAAAATTTTATAATCAAGAAATATTTTGTGCAACAACAAATTTATTAACACTATCCTGACTTCAGTATATTCATATTTTTCCTATGTCATTTTAAGATTACAAATCTAATATGGTGTCTTTGATGTGGATGTCTAGTAGATATGGATTTTTATACTGACATAATACCGTAAAGAATAATGTCGTCAGTGTTCTCGGGGATTGCTCGTGAGACCTGCTCACCTGAGGGTGGAGTGACAAAACTGTGCTTGGACTAAAGGCCTTGAGTGCCTGGGGTGTTCGATGCTCTATCCGGATTGCTGGGGGCCCTGCTGACGGTGCTGAAGAGACCACTGCAGCATGTAAGAGGCCTGATATGATGTTGATACAGGAGAGATGCTCAGTGAATTATACTCAAAGCTTTCTTATATTTTGACAATGTGACACTGATAACTACTTTTTGACTGTAGTTTCCTAAACAGTTCTGTGACTTGAGTAGTTTCATCTAGCCCATGCTTCCTACGTTTCACACTGAATATTACGTAAAACAATTTTGAAAACTAAAATCAAAATTTTTGTTTTTGTGTAAGTGTGATTATTTAAACACTATTCCCAAAATTGAAGTTATGCTTCTGGTTTGCAATTCCTTGTCTCCATCTTCTTTGTTTTTATGTTGTTATGTTTTAAAGCCCTTCCAATTTTCAAATTTCCAATGCATATAGCACCTCACCAAGCTGTGCTTTCTGTATTTGGGGTTGAAGTTTTTCTCCCTTGTCACTGGAATTTATTTCAAGTACTGTGATCCTAAGTCACTGACCCATCTAAATGTCTTTATCGAGAAGCACTACCTGCAGGAGCAGTAGGTAGGATATTAAGATGTAATCTGAGGACAATGAAATTGTCTGTACGGATTCCTACTGGTAAGTCTATTTGCAGAAGCAGGACATGAACTAAGAAGTTAAACACGCAACTATGAAAACTAGATTTATTTGCCTTTTGGTTCGTGACCTTTGACAACTCACGGTCTCACCTGTAACCCAGGGAACTACAACATGACTTTCTTTTTACAGCCACCTAGTATACTTTAATAGAATAGGTTTTGGGGAAAAGGTTCTACCGAGGTGATAAAAATTGTAATTAGTATTTACTATGTAGTATCTGTGTGTCAAACTGAAAAGAAAGATGTGGGTCATTACTCTCTTCCTTAAATCAGAGCAAACCAGTGTTGTTTCATCACAAGGTTTGTTACCGTCACAACTCGGACTAACTAGAATTAATCAAGACCTTCCTCATATGGGTCTGATTATATTCTTTCCCTGATATCTGTACATTTTGGTCAAATGTCGCTTTCTTTCCTATGCTTGATAGCATGGCATCAGAAAACAAAACTGGGAAAATCTACTGGTGTTACTTTATTTCATTCACTGTCTATGCTGAGAGGTTATTTTTACATATTTTGGCATTTCTAAATATTTGGAGCTATTATTAAAACTGTTTAACTGTCAAAAACTTAAGAAACTGTGAAGCCTGGAAATGACAAAATTAACTAGTAATAAAACTTCTGACATGCAACCTAAGGAATTAATTGGAGAGTTGCTATCGCATGGCTTTTAAAAATAGAAATACTCTACCCACAAGAATATTCTGAAGTATAGTTGACAAGATTGAAACGCATTTGATTGGATTATAATTTCATCACTTAGATTGTTTTTACATTTTCAGGCCAGCCTTTTTCTAGGGCTTTGCATTTATACTTGGTACTGTATATGTCTTCTCACAGATCCCCTTTGGAAGCCACTTTGATGGTAATCAGCTAAATCTCTTTGAGACAAGACTGAACACTTGGAGGAAAAAATATTTTGACTTTTTAAAATAGTTGTAATAGTAAAACTCAGAAAATTTCCTTGTAGAAAGGCCATACATTCTATTACTTTGGAGAGTAGCTGGACTCTTCCAGCTAATACCAAATTATCAATACATGTGGTGCATGTTGTGTCACCTGTTAAGGCTCTCTTTTGGGAAGAGCCAGTGTTACATTAGTTTTTCAAGAAGCATCAGGGAAGACTGCTAAAAGGCCAGCCAGTAAGGGAATAAAACAGGTTGGGGTGTGAGTGCCTTTCTTATACAGACAACATCCAGTGCAGGATTTGGTGACTGCATTTGTGTGAGGGCAGGTCAGCCTTCTGGCAGCTGCCTTGCTACATAGTACGGGGTCTCCTATTTCCGTGGTTCACCTGAAGACAAGAAGAGCTGGATGGGGCACTGTGTGAGTGCTGCCTGCGCCCACTGTTGCCTGTGACTTAGGCAATAAGGAATGGTTATTTCCAAGGTTTCAGTTTATATGTAACCTGGCGCTCTTGTGACAGGTGCTGTGGCTTTCCTGTGTGGCAGGGCGAGTGCTCCTTCGCACAGCATAGACCCTGCACCCAGGGAGCCTTGACCTTACGGAGTCCAGATTCCGCCTACATCTCTTAGGGATATTTCAGATTTATATTCCTGTAAAAAAAGGAGAGAACTTATTTTTCCTAGTTATTACAGGGTGAACATGATGCTTGAAGGATGCTGCTTTGTTCTCCTTCACCCTGAGAAAAGATTTTTGTGACTTTATAACTATTTGACAGAAAGGGTTTTGATATATATCTCTCCCAGTTAATCTTACTCCCAGTTACTTGATGGATAATTTTTTCAGTCTTTAAGGGAAAACTAATTTTGCTGTCGTACTTCATTGCAGAAACTTAAATCTAGCTTACTATTTTTTGCACATTAGCAGTGCAGTTGAAATATATCTTCTCATGAATGGTATTTAAAATGTAATATACAAATTGCTCATGCTCTGTTGCTAACTTTGTTCTTATTGTTACAAAAGTGTTTAGTGAGCACTGGAAATAACATTAGTGAAGAGTTACCTTTAAAATACAGCTTTTAAAGTATCAAATATTAAATTTAAAACAGTTGAAAAGTATCCTTATTTTAATAAATACTTAATATTTAAGGGGGGAAAAGAATTAAAAGAATATAAATTTTGCTTTTCATAACATTGCATCATCTCTCATATGTAAATTCCTTCCTCCCAGGAAGAGCAAAGTATGTTAGCAATGGAAGAGGAAGGGACTGTTCAATTACCACTAGAAGGACATTACAGGTAAAATATACCTTTCCTCTTTTAGGTGAGTTGCAATTAAACAAATTAAATAATCATGCCACAATATTGATTCTTTTCATGTCACAATATTGATTGATGCTCAGTGAATGTCAGGAGGATCTGCGGTGGTAGCAAAGTACAATTAGGTGAACTAAAACATGCAGTGGAGTCTTTCATGACTCCTTTCTAGTATTTCCACATGATGCTACAATCTTTAAGAAAAGCAAATTCTAGGTAGAAATTTTCTGGAACAAGACTGAAAGGCTGTTACTAGTGAACCTTAGCTTCTGCCATGCACTGTGCAAGGAAGGATGCACAGTCCTCTCACCCTGACTCTGTCAGTGAGTCAAGAGAGACCAAAACATACTCTAGAAAAATTAGGTCCTTGCAGTAATACATTTTAAAATATTCTAATTAAGATGCCAGCTGTATAATATAACAAGTGAACTAATGATTATCCAGTATAGATAACAAATGGATGATACAAAGGCATAACAACCTGTGTTACAAGCACTATACACATATACTGGGTAAATGTACTATACGTATATGACCATAAAGAGTTTTCATTTACAGAGTTTTCAGAAAGTTCTTAATAAAGCCTTGAGCGTGTCTGCATACAGGAACTTCTGTTTAACATAAGTTTACAGGAGCACAGTTTTTGAATAACCCTCTCTTATCATTTAATATAAAATTACCCTTAGGTATCCTAAAGCAAACAGTTATACTATTTATCTTCTGTGCATTTGAAAAATACTGACTTATTTCTTACTTTCCATGCATCACATTTATGGTGTTTGTTATTTGTTCCTATGTCCTTTTATCCTGTTAATGAATATCCCTTCCTTCTATTTTATATTTACAATATTTAGCTTAATTTACCTTGATGTGTGGCCTATATTTATCTGGTGTTTTTGCTATGTAGCTCTAAACTACCTGAATAACATCTAACCTTTTCTTCTGAAGGGTCACAGGCCTACAGCTAAAAAGAGGAATCAAAACAATAATTGATTAACTGGTTCCCCAAAAGACAGTGTAAACAAGTTTACTGAATGTACAGACACATACTGAGAGCAGTCCAGATAAGGGCATAAACTAAACAATGCCTGGAAAGGGGGTGCTTAAAGCTATTGATTTAATTGGGCACTTCAAATGATTTTTGATCACTTAAATATTGGACTTTTTTGAGGTTTTTTGACTGCTTTTAAAATATTTTAAAAAGTATCTGATGTTGTTTGCTAAAGTAGTTTGATTGCTGTCAGGACTGTGAAACCTTGGACAAATTATTTAACTTCACGGTTCCGCTTATTTTTTTTTTCTACCTATAAGTTGGAAATGACACCTGACATACTTTTAAATACTAAAAAAGTGCTAAAATATATTAGGAGCGTATTTAAGTCAGTCCATTGTTCAGTAGCCTTGAACTTTAGCATAATTTCTTTGACTTATATGCACTTATTTATTATCATTATCAGTTTTCAAGGACTTTTGTAGAATTAATAACTAACAAAGGCAAAAATGTTCATTATTTTATTATGCATTTTCTTTTACCTAGAGATGACCCATCCGTGATAAACATTTCTGATGAAATGGCAAAAACTGCTGTGTGGAAGACCTTGCTGATATCCTCAGAGAATGCAAAAGATAAGGAGTCAAGCTTTCCTTCTAAAAGGTTTTAATTTTTTTTTGTTACTATAGTATACTTTATATACGCATATCAAAATATTAGAACACTAGTAGGTAGATTTCTAGCACCTTGCAATTTGATTGAGGATTCCTGTTATGTACATCCAGTCAAGTATTTTGAGCTTGAAACACAAATCCACCCTGTATGTAAAAATAGCACAAATGGTTGCATGCTACTTAGTTACACCAGAGTGGAAAATGAAGTTGAGCATGATGCTGTGTAACGCACCACCAGCCTACCCCTAGACGTTGCACAACAGGTGGTGTGTTTTGCTTGCTTGTTTGCTCTTCTTAAAAAAGCAGTCATTACTGCCCTGGAAATAACTAAATAAATACTCTCGATTGATTACTCTTGATGTGATCTACTAACATTTGATTTTAAAAATATCTTCTAAGATTACTTCACTCAGTCATATTTCTATGTACTTCACTTGCACTCAAAACAGTTGAAAACCCTTTATAATTTAGTCCAGGAAGGAAGCCAGAATGTTTTATTTGTGCTAGCCAATTATGGGAATAAAGACATATTAAATACATGGACAGTAGTATTGTTAAGAAGAATTTTCCTCTATTTCCATTATTTTCAAATTTAACAGTATTTTCTACTTAATTCTTACATGTCACATTTTTATCATAAGCTCCCCTTCCTAATCACTCTAGAAGCTGATTCCCCAAAGGTAAGACCCTGTCCCTTCGACCTTTTCCTTGACTGTATCTTCTTATTTGGAGGGGTGCCACATAGGAACCCACATTACGGTGTGTAACTTTTGGGGAGACAGAATGAAAAGTAGCCTCAGTCAGGAAGGTAAAAATGTCATCATCAAAGTGCAAATATGATGATTGGAAGTAGATTGTATACAAGAATTAGAAATATTAGGCAAGTATATGTAAGTGTTAGCATAGTTTTGCAGTAGTTGTGCAGTTTTTAAAATGTAAAATGTCATTCTGCCTATTTCTAAATCTAATGTTTAAAACAAGGTTGATGTTTGAAACATCTAGTCGCTGTTTCTTGGGGAAAAGATGCTATAAAGGAAAAGACGACTGTCAAGAAAGACTTTTTTTTTCCATTTTGTCACCCCAAACTGGCCTGTTGCCTTTCAGTGTTGTTCTTTGCCTGAACAGCATAAACAAGATGAACACTTGATGATCAGAGAACCAGACTCTTGAAGTAGCTCTCTTTAAGGCTAATCTCCTGTCAGTCAAAATAGCAGTGCAGTTCTGCCTTCTGCCCTCCCCATGGGCTGAAAAGGATCTCGTCGCAGTGGAGTTAGCGTGCTGCACAGGAAAGGGATGTGCAGTAGGTTTTTGTTATGTGGGTATCGCACCCAGGCTGCAAAGCCTTGAGAAGGAGAAGAAAATTATGTTGCACATTTACAGGCACGTGGTAAGGAATAGCTGCAATTTTTCTGATAGATATTGCCTCTAAGGGCATGAGATGGGTTATGTGTGTGCATACATCGATATACACAGGCACAGATATGTGTGTGTATATAAAATATTTTTTCCTGAAAATTTCAAAGATACTTTGAACAAAGATCATCCATATAGACAATTGGTTCAGAAAACACTGTTAAAAGGCAATTTGTAGTAAAACTACAAGAAGCTTATTTCAATGAGTTCATTCAAAATCTATTTTTTTATATCTCTACTAGTATCTTAGCTAATGAGAAAAAGGACTTAGGACAAAAGTAACTAAGGGATCACAGTCTAGTTTTAAGGATTTAGATAAAATGATGATTCTTAAAGAATCTAAAATGCTGCTTTTTATGAGCTCTAGTGTATCTCATATTCCCAGACAGAAGTAGTATCAAAGATTTTTACATCCAGAGAACTTGCTTTCTGATAAGCACAGCCATAGAAAGTATTACTTTAAAGCATACTAGAGGCAAAGCTAAAGAAATTATTGTAAAAATTGTAATTATTACTTACTATTATATTCCTTATGTTCCTAATTATTATAGGACTATAATTATTAAAGTCCTAAATACACGTCCTATTACAGGAGGGTATAATTTGGCCCTCAGTAAGTACTGAAAATAAATTTGTGCTTGCATTGGTGCCAGTTGTAAGAATAATTTGTGCAAATGATCAAGACTACCACCAGTATTATGTTCTACAACCTCCTTCTATGAGGGTATCTTGCTGTAGGAGAAAAAAAATTCTTATTATGAAATTAATTTTACTGATGCTTTCTGAAGATAAACTATAGAAGTATTTAGGACTTTTTCCTTCCACCAAGTCCTCCATTTTCATACCCTAATATTGCCAAATATTATGTAATAAATATTATATTAAAATATGTGTATTTAATGGCATGTATTTTACATTTACATTTAACTTACACATTTTGTTCATTTTCATTCTTATTACATTTTATGTTTATATTAAATATGTATATAAAACTATAAATATTCAATATTAAATAATAGAATTAGAGAAAAAATGTGATACTGTGCTTTGACTTTAATCCCTTTTACATAATGCACATGAAATTAAGAACCTAGGATGAGTCATAAAATACATAAACTCTGGAAGTTTTTTCTGCTACTTAAATACTGAGTTGACTTAACCAATGCAAGACAGCCCAATAACAAACTAGATTTCCAGTGTGAGATTTTAGGCAGGAAAAAACAGAACACATGGGTTTGTCAAAACACATGCCCTTTCTAAGTAGATAAAGCTCTTTAAAGCCACTCTCACACATCTGTTTGCACACCCTTTGTATGCAGAGAGTTTAACATACTATTTCTATTACAGAAGGTGGCAGATTTGGCAGTTTAAGTGGCAGAATTTGGTATTCTTTAGCTATTTCCATTAACACATCTGGAAGCTGCCATAGCCTTAGAATTAAGCTGTGCCTGAAATGAAGTCTAGCCTTAAAGATTTTTTTTTTTTCTTTTATGTAGTAGTATATCACATGATTTTACAATTGTGCATGAATTCTATTAAGAATTTAAGACTTGATCTTGCTTTCTTTAAGCCGTACGTAACTCAGCTTATTTCTCATTCATTCTAGTTAAGGAATTATTCCCATGAAACCTGGTAGGTTATGTACCTGATACAGGTTTGTTCTCCCAGCATCTTTAAGATACCCTTGTTGCTCTTTGTTGAAGGTTTAATTTGCCTGTGTTTTGGAAACCTCTTTGCATTTCAATAGTGTTATTAAAAACTCATTGCAAAAAATATATTATTTAAGCTGTAAATTAGTACCCTTATTACCAACAAAAATCATCTGCTGTGTGCATCTCATCTAGGTAAATCAACAGTATTATTAAATTAGAAAAATAAAGCTGAATCCAAATTTGAACTCTGCTTCAGATTTCTTGGTGATATTGCCTAGATGTACCTTATAAACGCTTAAAAAATGTTATTCCTGATATGATATAAAAGGAGCAACTGTATGTTAAACTGAGCTCTAAGTGGGGAATCGTGTCCTTCCCCCTTTCCTGCCTTCTCCTGCTCTCCCCAGTAAAGACTGAAAGACATCAGAAAACTGCAACTTGGCTTGCACTGCTCTGTCTTTTCAGACACATTTCTTGTAATTGGATATTGAGCGACAGAGTAAATGTTAAAGCAAAGAAATATTTCCAACTTCTTGTATGTGCCATTTAAGAAAATGCTGGTATTGCCTGAAGAGTCTGCCGTTGCCATTATTTAATGACTTAGCAATTGTATTTGCAAAGACAATAAACGTGGGTATCTCTGCTTGCATGCTGTCTGCCTGCACATCTTTTCTACCTTCCTCGTCACTAAAATGCTGGCTGATGTCGTCTGCACTAATCAATACAGCAACTGTCACTTGCTTCCCACTTTGTGCTATGCAGCATGAAAAACTAATTAAAATACCATTGCAGTGTTGGTTTTCAGGTAAATCATTAATATATCTTACTAGTACTTCTCCAACTCTATTTTTCCTTCTTTTCCTAGTGTTGAAATTAAAAGAGAGAAGAAAGCTGACTCAGGGAAAGGTGTTGACCGGGAGACTTGTCTATGACATTCTTCAATTAATTTTTCTTCTACAAGTGAATGAAAGGAGTGCCACAATCATTAAATAGGACTGATTTGATGTTATAACCTTTTGTCTGTCAGCCCAAACTAGCACAGGTAATGTAGTGCAATATTTGTTTCATTTCACTTTGAATGTCTATGTTGTATAGTATCTGTACAAAAGTCTACAGTAGTCAATGCAAAAAATACTTTCTTTGCTGATGTTGGCCATTCATTACATATTTTCTTTCAAATTGAACTTACTTTTTAAGTAGGTTTGTATTCTCTTTTGCTACTTTTTTCTGTGTGAGAATCCTTAATAATCTTCATTCAATATGAACTTGAAACACTTGTTCCATTTTTCTTTTAAATCAATTAGCTCAAGTAAAGGTTTTTAAGAGACCAAAATTAACAAGTAAACATTAAAGGTATTTTTAAAGTGACAACGGATCTGACCCTATGAACACTAAGGAGGTAACCCTTTCCTCCTCAAGCTGTCCTTTTTGAAGTCATGGATTGCAATCGCAGGGTCAGATTCTTTCAGTATTTGTGCAGTTTTCCTTGATTTAATACAATATATTTAATATTCAAATTTTTATGTAACTGGAACATAGTCTATATATATGATATATATATATTAAAATATATATTAAAACACATTCTCTCACATTATTTGAAAAATACCACCACATCCTTTGATGTGAAACTTTGGTACAGTATTTGCTAAAATGCAATCTGTGATTACAGTATCTTACCTTGTATTGTATGAATGTTTCCATAGTAGGTCAAACTACTGCTTTATGTCATTAATGAATATTATTTTATAGTAGGACTTTTGTAAATATAAACAATATGCTACATGCAGTTATATTACCAGCCCAATGACTGCCTAAAAGACAGTGACATAAATGATGTATTTATATTGTCCTTTTTCTCACTCCACTACCAACTGCAAGCCAGCTGTCTTTATTGTGTATAATACTTAAACAGATAGCCTGTTGTTACTTTTCAGCTTTTTTTCAGTATTCTGTCAAGTACATATTACTTAAAAGATGAAAAACAAGATTGCAAAGATGTGACTCTAAAGCCATTACAAAAAAAAAAGGTTTTCCTAACAGAATTTGTTATGGCATAATCCTTTAAGCTATTTTTTTGATGAAAAACAAGTACTGTGAGATCAGGTTTTCAGTTAATAGAGATGGGAAACAAAAGTTTTATGACTTATTTGAAATTTACTATTTTTTGATTTTTTAAGACCAAATTTTAAATGATTAAGTGAAGGCTAACCCTCATCACTATATTTTTGCTCTGAATTCTAGGAATGAGAGCCTATAGTCTTGTGACCTCTATAAGCTCATTTGCAGGGCTTAAACATTCCCTAGCTTTCAAAACAATAAACTTTACGTTGACCTCCTGTGAATAACTTTTTCATATCCAGCACATTTAAAATACTCCTTCCAATGTTTTTGTGTTTGTATGTTACATGACTTTAGCCATAAAAAATAACTGCATTTTCTTTCAAACCAGTTAGGTCACTGTTCTAAATTGTACTTAGTATTATCAAAGCCCATCAAAGGCCATTTTTAATCTACTGGATGCAACAAAGGATTTATATACAATTAAATGTTTGTATTTATAAATTTAGGAAAAATGCTAATGACTTAAGGCTAAATGCTTTGTTTTGTGCATTTGATGATAAACTAAGATTCCAGTTGTTTCAAGGCTATTATAGAAGTTCAATACTGGTTTGTCCCGAAAGCAGCCTGGTGGTATTTTAATATGTTGCTGACTTTGTTACAGATAATGTATACAATCAAAGTGTATTAGTTTCACTTGACCAACTTTTAGAGTATGAAGGAATCAGTGTATTCAATGGCATTTCTGTATTTCTGTTCAGTATTTCAGAGTGTTTGTTTTTTTCTTTTTTTTTTTTTACAGTCACTCTGTTCTTGTGTGAATTTTAATGCTGTTCCAATGTTAATCTCAACGTTATGAAATCACACACAATATACAGCAAATCTAGTATTATATTTACTTCCAGTTTCATATTCCTGGTCAAAATTACTCAATTCTTGGATGTAATTTATTACAAAAGTTTATGTGTACTTGTGAATAGACTTGTGTTTTTCACAATTAAGAAACTGTATGTGAAAATAAATATTTATCCTAACTAATTTTCTATTTCTGTTTTTATATTGCAAGACCCATAGCAAGTATGCAGTGTGGCACACTGTTTTGAATATCTACTGTGACTTGAAAATACTTAACCATTTAAGCTCAATCTTGCAAGCTGCTGAGTTTGTGAGAGGAATGGCACTAAAATAGGCCCTGCTCCATCTGTATGGGCAAGCAGCATGCAGCTGTTTGCACTTGATGCAACTTGAGCATAAAAAATGCATTTGGGGATAGCATTGAACTAACCTGGTCTAGAGAGAGACTGAAAATCAGGTTCTGAGTCTGGTCATGAGTTGGTTCCTCTTCTTGTTCTTTGGAGTGATGATGTGGACCAGGAAGGAGTAGTTAAGTATTTTAAAGATCAATAGGTAAGGAATTTTATAACTATGAAAATTTACTAAGTGCTACGATATTTAAAGCATTTAATAATTAATCAAACATTGGCCCAGCTTCTGGCTAACTGTGGGAGCTTTTACTATTTTCCTAAAGCCTTGTAGTATGCAGAAACCTAAACTCCATCCTATTAACCAGCCAGAACTCCATCATATTACACCCCTCAGGTTCCTTCACCAAGCTTTGAACCAACGAATCTAAATCTTCACCCACCTCAGACTTTTAATTGTCAGACCTCCGGCTTTAGCTCTATTAGTATTTTACACATAGTGTACTGTACAAGCAATTTTTGTTTATCCATGTCACGTTTTCATTAGGATTTGAGAGTCTAACTCTACACCAAGCTTCTTTTCCTAGTGCCAGCTTTGTACATTAATGAAGTTAGCTGGCTTCCTTCTGTGGCCTCAACTTAAAATGCATTGTGACTGCTAAATATCTAAAGGAAGCTGAAGCGTCTAACTCAAGACTGTTCATTCCCTAAGAGAGCTGTATTCTTATCTTCATTATCTACATTATTACTTGGAATTAGGAAAGATCTAGCAGAGATAGGCTAAAGGAAAAGAAATAATAATAAAAAAAGAGTGGCTTCATTCGCTACTAAGAGCATATTATAGTATATCTTCTTCCTCAGCTCCCCCCCCAGCTGTTCATACTTTTTTCTTTTCTTTCCTTTTTTTTTTTTTTTTTAAGGACATGTTATGCAAACTTTTAGGATATTTTTCCTCTTCTTCTGCATACTGTATCTGGCTGCATTTGTATACTCACACCTAAGGTCTCTAATAAAACACAATAATACATATGTAATCACATGCTGGTATCTAATAGTGAGAGGCTAAGCATTAGATCATCATATCACACTTATGTAACACAAATTAAATATCTTTAAGAAAAGCAGAATTTTCACTATAAATTGTTACCAAAATTCATGTATTTATTTTTAAAAAATTATAGGAGTTAATTTCTGGAGTAGGGTATCCAATTATACAGAACACATATCCTTTCATAACTTAATGACTTTCTTATTTTAAGGCAGCACAGTTTGTAATATAAGTTGGTTTACATCTTTTCTCTGTGAAATTTAAGGAAATTGAAGTTTTGAGATGCCTACTTGGAGTATTGAGACTAAAAGAGAATTTTAGTGGTCTATTCACACATTCATATGAGAGTTCTAGTCCAGTCCTTGCTTTAACTTCTGAATTGCATTTAAACATTTTGTATTTGAGTACAAACAATATATTCTGCTCAGTAGTAAACAGGAAACTGAAAAAGAATTTCAGACCCATAGAGGAATAATAACAGCTTCTTAAAAGGCCTACGTAAGAGTTCACCAGTGCATATTCATATAGTACCAGCCTTTTATCATAAAGTAAACTCACATCACAGTATTAGGTTGGGAAGCAAAATGCAGTGCAACAAGTAGGTATTATTCAGAATACTTGCCACGTCTGAACTCCAGTCACTAGTTGATCAAAAAAAAAAAAAAAAAAAAAAAAAAAAAAAAAAGCACAGAACTAGAACAGTTGTCCAAGAGACTGCAGAGAAAAATTAAGGCACTAAGAGAGGTTACAACATACACACACATTGATGACCTGATTAAACACAATCAATTAAAAAAAATGCAATAGTTGCCTGACAATGGAAATCATCCTAAAGATTAGTATTTCACTGAGTACACAGGGATCCAGGAGTCAACCTCTACCCCCGTCTTCATTCATAAAGTTTATACTGGCTCAGCGTACATTGAGCTAAAGCGTTTTCTGCAGAAGAACCATCATCATCAATGCAAATGCTGTTCCTATGCTAAGGCAATGAAAAACACTGCTTTATGAAATGGCTCATGTGGGTATAAATATGCTTATGTGCTTGCCCGGTAATGGCATGGTCTTTGTCCGTGTACCACTGTGGGAGAGAAAAACAGAGAGCACGTTAGTTCTTGCCCCAGCCAAATCCTTAATGAGACACGACATAAAGATACATGTAGGCATCTAACAACTAGCCCAGAGCAAGGCTATCTCAACATGAACATAAAGGTAGGATGATGGGAGGGAGCTGCCACGTTATTCATGTCATTGCATTGTGTACAAAAGCTAAACTGTCTACTCGTGCACAAGACATACAAAGCCTGAGATGTGTACATGGCTTGTCCCCATGCAGGCTGGCACAGCTCCTCAGCCTGAGCTCGACACCCACCTGCCCTGCTAGGTGCCTGGGGCACCAGCAGAACGGGCACCTTGGGTTCCTTCTGCAGAGCATTGCTGCTCAAGAGCTGGGTGGGAGGAGAAGCAGCACCTTATGCTGGCATCTTCCCTGTACAATGTTAGAAGAGGCAAATAACTCCTTGCTCTTAGAAGTTCTAGTAAAGAAACACCAATATTCACAGACAATTCATCTTAGGATTAAAAAATAGACCTAGCTGTAGCTAAACAGCTTTCTTAAACCTTATTGCCGGGTGGATGTATGTGAAGCTTGGCTGTTTGACAACACAGAAAAAAATAACAAAATGAAAGATAAGGTAAATCAGGTCAAATACAAGAAAAAGATGTTTAAATTTTTTTCTTGTCCAGAAGACAAAGGCAGAGTTACGTTAAAAGGTTCAGTTACTGAATGTGAAATGCAAACGTGACCTTTGGATCAACAAAAACAAACAAACTAACTGTACCATTGCCTGAAAATCCACCTCAGCATCAACAAGAGCTTTGGAAATCTGTGCTGCTTGCTGAAAGTGAACATTATCTGAAAAATAGAAGAAAGAAAAGTAAAAAAAATTGGTTCTGTACCACTCTGGGGAAGGGGAAAAAAAAAAAAAAAAAAGGCAAAACAACAAAACAATGATCACACAAAACTCCCCAGCACTGCTGATTGAAACCACAAATTAGTTGTAGCAAGCAGTATTATTTTTATTGACGTAGCTTTAACAGCCTTGCCCCTTCATGCTTTTGTTTTGTCAGTAGTAGAATTGCGAACCTGTCTGTAATACTAAAATGTCTAATTAACTGCAACTCACCATCTGCTGTTCCATGAATAAGGAGATAGTCAACTTGCTTGAAATTTTCAGCTCTGGCCATTACTGTTGAACTCTGAAAGTAAAGTAAAAAGAAAGAAAAGAAAAGGAGGAAAAAAAAAAAAAAAGGTGCTGTTTGTTACAAGATGTGACTACCAAGTGACTTTTTTTTTTTTTGCTGTTGACACAGGGGATCCTTTGGATAAAAGGTAGTGACCTGTACCCCCCTCATACCACAGACTCGCATGCTGGTCACACAGCCAGCAGCACCGTGCTGGCACGCGGGCTGTTCTGCACAGGGCTGGAGTTATCACCAAGGGCTGTGCCTGCAAAACGACAAGTAATTCCCGAGGGGCAGAGTGCGGTGCGCAAGCTCCCCGCCGAACGCATCGCTAGCATGTTGTTAGCCTGCAGCACACCACTTGCCATAGGATTCCTCTGCTACCCAGCAGACAAGTTAAAAAATGTTGCCATGGCAACTGTGCACCCTATGATAGCAGCGAGTTGATATTACAGAGACTACTGCATTATTTTCGCCACCTAAATATGCACTGCAATTTACCTATACGTAAATAACAGAACTTGTGATTTATCATTCTCAAGGGAAAAGGGCTGAAAAGGGGTTTGAGGCAATGCTGCCCCCCCAACTATGATGCAGAAATGCTGGGGGGAAAAAAAAAAGATCAACAGTAAACCAAATCTATAAATAGAAGCCAAATGGCACACTGGGACTGAAACAACATTGTGCTGAAAAAAACCACCCAGCAACTAAGGTTAAAACCGCTTAAAGCACTGTATCAATGTACTCACTGCAGCATAGTAATCCCTTCACATAATACAGTGACCAAGCAGTAAAGAATGAGGAAAGTAAGAGTTGCAAAGACCACCTTTCATTTGGGCAAGGAAAGGGCAAATGTCATGCTCTGACATGAGGGTGGCAGGAAGGGACACACACACGCACGCGCACACACACACAAGACATTATGAGTTTGGGGAGAAATCCAGTGTAGTGGAGAAAAGGATGTTGAATGGAAATTTCCTTCTATTAGCAGCAGTATCGGGCTTCTGCTGAAAATTCCTGAATTCTTGGGAATGTTTGCTGTTCATTATAAAAAAAAAAAAAAAAAAAAAAAAAAAAAAAAAAAAAACCACACACACACACAACAGGAAAAGAACAAAGGAGGAAAAAAAAAATATGCATTTTTCTCCCCTTGCTATTAAGGCAGCATCCTTGCACATGCATCTTTATCCTCTCTCCTTACCCCCAAAAAACACACCACAGAAGTGCTC